TAAAATGAGGGCTGCCTTTGCCAAATTGATTATATAGGGTATATTTTCTATAAATTGAATGATTCAAGGTAATCTGCAGCTTCCAAGTTTTAACAAAATATACTTAAATTAGAAGATAAAGCTATTTTGTCTAATGTGTTGGATTGGCAAAAATGTACTTTTCATTTTTAAAAATAAGTTTTGGTATTTATGGGATATTTATAAGCTTAGAAGTGACAGCATAGCAGATACTTTACTCTCATTTTAGTAATTTATCAACTTAAAATATTTATGTTGTCTTGATAACACCAAAAAAGTAGCAGCAAATTTTAACATCTAAAAGTTTATAGATGTCAAACCTGAGTATGATAAACTTACTGATGTTCTTTGGCAGTATGTGCTAAAGCATTTAGAGGTGAGACATCTTGATGTCTGCAGTTTACAGGAAGATAGTTCAGATAAAAAAGAGTGGGAGGGGAAAAAGGAAACTAGAGGTAAGGCTGAGAGTTGCAAAACGTTAACATTTGGTGAAAGGTACTGTTCATTGTAATATTTTTTCAACTTTTCTGAAGGTTTGAAGATTTTCAAAATAGAAAGTTAGGAAAAACTTAATAGTCATGGGGAATAAAAAATTAATTTTAAGAGGCATTTGTCAGTATCATAAGAAATGACTTACCAGGATAAAAATATGTTACATTAGGATAAAATGTGGGGGAAGTAAAATGAGGGGTTGGCTTGTACATGAAGTTTTGTAAATGGATGATGGTGGCTATGAAATTGCTGTGGTATTTAGATTTCATTGGTGTGTTTAAAAGTGATGGAACTATTTTATTTTAAAATGTCAACTCCATGTCAAAAATGACATCTTTTGCCACTCTTCAGACTTCTGATAAAAAATTTGAGATGCCAAATTAGAAATCTACAAGTAGATAATATGATTTTTAAAAATTCTTTTTGCTGGGCGCCTGGGTGGCTCAGTCATTAAGCGTCTGCCTTCGGCTCAGGTCATGATCCCAGGGTCCTGGGATTGAGTCCCACATCGGGCTCCCTGCTCGGCGGGAAGCCTGCTTCTCCCTCTCCCACTCCCCCGGCTTGTGTTCCTGCTCTCGCTATCTCTCTCTGCTAAATAAGTAAATAAAATCTTTAAAAATAAATAAATAAAAATTCTTTTTGCTGTAATCAGGCAGACAGGTTTGAAGACTTTGGTTCTGGCTAGCATTCTTCAGTTCTTTGGCTCAAGGAATATGGTGCTAAGGGTTCACTCAGATATACTACACTCTGGCAGATTGTTCTGGCATGGACAGATGGCTGTGACTATTTTAGCAAAGACATTGTATAGCTTATGAAGCACAACCATAATAACCTTCCCCCAAACCTGTACTATTTCCACAGACATAAAAACTTTGTTCAGCTGCTGAGAGCAATCATAATGTTATATTGTTTTTAAACCACAGAATTGTTTTACAACTTTGTTAATTTCCTTTTTCTATAAATGTGGATGATTTCTTTAAAAACTATAAGTTAATGGTATTATTAATATAATTTTTACTGGCCATGACACTAGTAATTCTACAAACTAGAAGTTTATAAATGAACTTTTTTTTTTTTTTAATTCTAAGTGTCTTCTAAAAAACTGCCTGGAAAGACTTCACTTGTGATACTTACTTTGACTTGAGGTCATTCATATAGAGATTTGGAATTTGTATTTAGTTGTGCTGGAAATCTAAATGCCAGTGTGTTACTGTGTAAACTATAGCTTGTAGTACTTATTGGTTGACTTCAGTATTATCCTAAAAAGTTAAGATATAAGTTTTGGATTGGAAGAGTGAGGCATAAAATGTACATGTACACATTGTGAAAAACTACGGGGCTGAAAACCATGTGTACTTTTTTTTGGCCAGAGACATTGGGAGAATATCATTCCTTTGAATAGATCAAGCCATCTGGTTAATAGAAACTTCAGCATTGTTCTTATAACTTTGTCAAACATTTCCTTGGTTTTATAGTTGAAAATGGAAGACTGTGGAGGCTTAATTTAATGAAATACAGATTAAAAAATCACTGGTGATACTTTCAAAAGTGTCCATAATTTAACCATGAAAATAAAAAAATTAACATTACTCCACTTCATTCTCAGACCCTGTTTAAGTTTCGTCTCAGTGAAGTTCTTTATAGCAAAAGATCCAGTTCAGAATCACACATGACATTTAGTTGACATGTTTCTTTAATCTCCTTCAGTCTGGAACAGTTCTTCAGCTTGTTGACTTTGAAGATTATAGGCCAATTATTTTGTAGAATGAAACTGCGGGTTGTCTGGTGTTTTCTCATGATTAGATTCAGATTATATATCTTAGGCAGGAATTTTACAAAACTGATTCTGTGTGTCTCTTATTGTATTCTGTCAAATCGTATATGGTTGCATTTTGTCCCATTGCTGTTGATGTTCACTGATCACTTGATTAAGATAATGTCTGCCAGGCTTTCTATAATAGTTTCCTATTGCTGCTGTAACAGATTACTACAACCTTAATGGCTTATTACAACACAAATGTATTTTCTTACAGTTCAGCAGGCTGGAAGTCCAAAATCAATTTCACCGGGGTAATCATGGAGTTGGTAGAACTGGTTCTTCTTGGAAGCTCTAGAGTTGAGTCTGTTTTCTTGCCTTATTTAGCTTCTAGAGACAGCCTGTGTTCCTTGACTTATGACTCTTCCCTCCATCTTCAGAGGACATCACTCCAACATCTGCTCCCATTATCATATCACCTTCTTTGTCTTCAACCCTCCTGCCTCCTCCTTTTAAGGATCCCTGTGATTATATTGTGCCCATCCAGATAACGTAGGATACATCTCCCCATCTCATCTTAATTTAGTTGGATCTGTAAAGTCTTTTTTGCTTTGTAAGATAATGTATTCACCGGTTCAGGATATTAGGATGTGGACATTTTGGGTGGCAGTTGTTCAGCCTACCATATTTTCCCACTGTAAAATTATTCTTTTCCCTTTTGTAATATTTTGTGGAAAGACACTTGGATCCCTTGTTCTTGTTAGTGGAGAGTAGTGGTATTTAGAAACTAGATCTGGGTGTTGATGTGCTCACTGCTATTGATCTTGCACACTGCTCCTAGGCTCCCTTAGTAGTGTTAGGGAATATATATGTATAGAATACATCTGTATTTCTACACGGAAAGATATTAGTTCATACCGAAATCTTTAATTCCAATTCAGTACCACAGGATTCGTTATTTTCGATTTTTTCATATGTGTAACTCCCTTCTCTGACAGTGAAAAACTGACCCCAGTTATCTTTTATATGTTAACTTATTTGATCAGTCCCCCTGCATATTACCAGTCTCCTTTGCTGTCACTACCCCTTCCCGTATATGGATCCATTGTCATCACACCTGGTTCTGATACCTCCTACCACATACCTCTCCTATGTGGGTGCTTTCCTCAAAGCCTGGTGGTAACAGGGTAGTTGGAGTTCTTACTTACATGGTGGCTTTGGAGCATTCTGTTATATGCAGAGTTCTTTTACTTATCTAACATCTCATCTAACATCTCATTTAAGCACTGCAGTTTTGTTGTTTCTAGTATTGTGAAAAAATTTCTATTTAGTATTAACCAGCTGGACTCAGTGTAGGTGATCTCAGTTTTGTTGGTAACAACCAAAGCATTATAGTCAGGAGCCAGGGGACCATATGCCTTCTTCTCCCATCAGGCCTGCCTGATCAGGTGTTGACCTTGGCCCTTTTCAGTGTCATAGAGCTTCTTAATCTGATCTGGTGCTTGTTGGCCTTGACATCCATAATGAACACAACAATTATTGTTGTCTTCTGTCTTCTTCATGGCTGACTCATTGCTCAGGGGGAACTTGATGATGGCATGGTGGTCAAGCTTGTTGCTCTTCCAGGGAAAATATTTGGGCTGCCTTTGGAGTATCTTGGGCCACCAGAAGGTGGGTGACATGCAGATCTTGTGTGTGTGTGTGTGTGTGTGTGTGTGTGTGTGTGTGTGTGTGTGTGTGTGTTTTGTGTGGCTGGGGTTGCCTTTTAGCATTGCCTTGTTGGCCTTCCAAGTCTTTGTTTTGGCTTCAGCTTTGGGAAGGGGAGGGTTTTTTCCCTTTGCTTTCTGCATGACATCTTCGTGAAAAGATACATTTTTATTTTAAAACTTAATTTTTTTTTAACTTAGGAAAGTTATTCAAGTGATGGTAATGAGTTTAGTAAAACAATACATGATATTTTGGCTTTAGTTTAATTCCTCTTTAATTGAATTGCAGATTTTTCCTGGCGACTAAAATAATGCCTTTTCTTATAACTCCTATATGAACCTATTTTAACTTCTTATGGGTTTGGGTGACTTTTCTAATTTAACATAATCATTCTCATAATTGAATAATACCATTTCTGCTTAGCTTCCTTTTAATAAGCTGCATGTTTCAGCTATTTTACACTTTTTGTACCTTCTATAGCAAAAGGGAAAGGAAGAGAGCATTTCTCAGAAATTGCTGATTACGTGACTAAATATTTTGGGTTCAAGTCAGTTTTTGTGTTTTCAATTAGAAGTTATTTAAGTCTCACATGAAAATGGTTGCCTAGGGTGCCTGGGTGGCTCAGTTGGTTAGGCGACTGCCTTTAGCTCAGGTCATGATCCTGGAGTCCCAGGATCGAGTCCAGCATCAGGCTCCCTGCTCAGCAGGGAGTCTGCTTCTCCCTCTGACCTTCTTCCCTCTCATGCTCTCTCTCTACCATTCTCGCTCTCAATAAATAAATACAGATCTTTATTAAAAAAATGGTTGCCTGGTAGTTGAACAAGATTTTCCACATAGATCATTTGTTCTGAATGGCAGAAAAATTAACCTATGTTGTCAATTTTTCTTAAAGGTTATTTGAGTAGGTAGTCTTTTATATTCCAGTAAAATTTTAGCATGGTAATGAAGGTTAGTATGGTATTAACTGGTTTTGCCTTCATGTGAAAAATGCTTTAACTTACCACCTTATTTATTTTTTTTTTGACAGAGCAAATTCGATTAAAGAATATCAGAAAAGTATATGGAAGATGTATGTGGTATCGTTTACGGTTATTAAAACCCCAGCCAAATATTATTCCTACAGTAAAGTAAGTAATTGGTTTCAGTAAAAAAAACCACAAAACTTAGTGCTTACTCTTTGCTAGGTAACATATAAAATATGGGTATAATGATGAATAAAACATATGTTTAAAGAAATTGTAGCCTTAGGTAGGGGTAAGATGTGAATTTGGGAGCTTTTAAACAGTGATTTAGAGGTTCAAAGGAGAGAGAATGTACTTCTGACTTGGGGGAGGGAGGAAGGGAAGTCAAATCTTGAAGGAAGACCTTGTGCATCTTGTCAGGATTGGCATTTTGCCTTAAAGACTATGGGAGAATCTTTAAAAGATTATCAAAAGCAGGGAGGTGACATAATCAAGTTTGCATTTCATAGTGATAATTAAAGTTTATTGAGCACATACTGTATGCCAGATGCTGTGCTAGGGCTTTATGTGTTATCTCATAATTTTATTATTAACTTCAAAGTAGATGTTCTTGCTATTTTGTCAGATGAAGAAAGTAAGAGGAAGATGAGGTAACTTGACCAGGGTCCTGGAGCTAGAAGTGGTAGAGCGGGGACCTTTTATTTTGGCAGGCCAATTTGATTAAACAGGACATTAGCATGTTTAATTAGAGGAGGCTTATTTGATTTTGTGAGGCTATGGGGTATGCTGGTTTAGAGCCCAGGCTTTGGATCTTCACCCTGAATCATCAATTTTGAGGTAATAGGTGAATCTGTAATGAAAGAGTTGCTATTATTGGAGGATTGTATCTTGTGAATTACTTACATCTATCTGTCCAGTAGGTAGGAAGGGAAGAACTAGCAGTGATAATTAGTAAAAGTAGAGCCATTTATTTTTTAATTTTGGCTTAAATGATGATGATAGTTTTCAACATATCTGTGTAACTTCAGGGGGCTTAAATGGTTTTTCTTGGTAAGGTTTTACTTTGCCTAGTTTAGTTCCTTTGCAGAGGGAGGGAAATTTTAGCTTTGGTGTTAAGAGTTCTACATTGATGCGAAAGTAAAAGGCAAAATTAGTGATTAGAAGAGTAGTTTTATGTTCGCTGTTTATTCTTTGCTTTTGCTTCTCATTTTAAAGTTTTATGAGGTAGCAAGGCAAATAGTTGTGGCCTCCTAATCTCTTCCTTTTTTGGTTTTGGTCAATACTTTGTGGGTATCTGAACCTCAGTTTTCAAGGAAAAAACCCAACCCTGTGAAGTTCTCTTTAGTGATTAGTAAACTGATTTACTTAAATGGAAGCACAAATTAAGGGATGTTTATAAGTGAGGAAGAATTAAATTTAGATAACAATTTAGATAAGGTCAGAAACATCAAAACCTTTGTGCTACTTAACCTTAAAGCATTGTTTCACAATTAAGCAGTCATTGCGTAATGCTCTCATTTCTGGAAGTTGCTTCCAAAATGACCTTTAAAATATACTTAGAGTAAAAACACAAAGACTTCACAAGTTGATCACTAATGCTATTATATGTAGGGAAAGACGCTTATCTTTCCACAGGACCTAAATATGTTTTTAAAAAATTGGGTGTAGATCATGATGAAATCCGTTATGTTTCCACCTTTGCTTTGGCTTTCAGGAAATTAAAGCATGGTGTTATTGGTTGTTACAGTTTTCATCAGCCTGGGCGGTTCTATTATGAGCTTCTCTAATCCTCTCTTCATTCTTGAGCTTAGAGAGCCAGGTGCACCATGTAGAGCATTTGTCCTGGGGTATAGTATATCCTGGGTGTTTTGATTCCTCTCCCTTCTCCTACCCTTGTTTGCTTTTAAGTCTTGTTTTAGTGGTTTTCAATTTCACTTTTATCTTTGTTTTCTGAGCTTTCTTAGCCTTTTGGAGCATTGGCAAAACAAAATGTGGAATTATTAACTTGTAGATTTTCAAGTGTTCTGTAGCATATCGAAGGAATGGCAAACTTTGGGTTTGAGTTAAAAATTACTATGTAAATTATTCTCCTTATTCATTCAATAAGTAGTCATTGTGTGCCGATTATTTATGTGTCAAGTAATATACCAGGAACTGATATATTGTGATTAACAAATAGATGTGGTTCAGCAACTTAACAGTTGTGGGAGAAACTGGCAAGTAAACAAGTAATGATAATAGAGTTTAGTAAGGGCTATGAGGGGGGTGCCATGACAGAGCAGAGGAAGGGCTTTCTGGCTTGAGACAGAGAAGGCTTCTCTGAGTGAGGTCAGGGCTGAGATTGGGTAAGACATACTGAGAACAGCTAACAGGAATTGTTTACTATCTGTGAGATACCTTCTAGGTGCTTTACATACCTAATCTCTTTTAATTCTCAAACCCACCCTAAAAATTGGAAACTGAGTTGTAAAGGACAAAGCAACTTTCCAAGATCTCTAAGTTAGTAAGTGGTGAAGCTGGAATTTGACCTCGGGTAGTTTTCCAGAGGCTGTGTTCTTAATTACCTCTCCCTAGATAGGTAGAAGTGGGAGTGTTCCAGGTAGGACATCCTTTTCCTCTTTGGGGATATAGGTAGTATGGAAAGAAGTTTGCAGTATTAGGTACTTAATAAGGATTAGAACATTATTTTGGCTAGATGGAAAGAAATTTGTATCTGAATGCCAACCCTGTTTAAGCTACTCTGGGGTTAGTCATAAACTCAGTAAGATCCTGTTCACGTGCTCAAGGAGCTTGCAGTGAGTTAGAGGAGAAAAGTCATGGGTTTTGCTTCTTAGTGACTATAACCCTGGTTTTCCCATGATCACTTTGACAAGGGTAAGGATTGCTTTGAGGTGAGTCTTGAAGGATGAATAGATTTTGGATAGGCAGAAATGGGGAATGGGAATTCTAGGTGGAAAGATTGAAGAGCAAAAGCATGATGGTAGGAAAAGCTTAGGGAACTTTGGGAGATGGGGATTTTTTTTTTTATTGGGTGATAAAGGTCAGTAGGTGGATTTAAACTTGATCCTAGAGGCTCATTCCAAATAAATATATTTAAGCTAGGTTTCTACCAAATGAGCTTAAACACCTGGAATATTTTCTGTCTTTGAAAAAAAGGTCACTCCAATTTTGTTTGATTAGGCCTCGATTCATTTTATGTGTTTAACAGTTCCTACTTACATAACAAATTGTGATATAAAGAGTATAAAAATATAAAATTACTCAATTTCATCACTTAAAGATAGCCACTATTAAGATGATTTACCTTCTATATTTTTAATAAAGTTTTATTTATTAAAAATAACATATTATACATATTATACATATATCTTGGAAAGCTGTTTTTCTTGTTTTAATTTAATTTAATGATCTTCCACGGCAAATATTGTTTTTATTGGCTAGATGGTATTTCACTTTATTAATATACCATTAATTTGTCTACTACTCTATTGATGGACATCTCTGTGTGTGTTTTCTGTTATTCTGTGTATTCTGTGTATTATTTCTGTTATATATCTGTAACCAGCTTTTTATATACCTAATTCTAGTTTATTTCCTTCTAAATTTCTTGAAATAGATAGTTAAAAGGGTATGTACTTCTTCAGGGTTTTGACACCTTATTGCCAGACATTCCTTCAGAGTGTAAAGGGTATGAGTGTTCTTTTTTTTTTTTTAGCCTCTCCAACAGTGGTAATATCAGTCTTTTAAATATTTTTACTAAACAGAGTATATTGGAGAGAAGAGGTTAGGTTTGCTTTTTTTTTTTTTAAACTATCTATTCCTTTATATCTCTTTTTATCCAATTATGTACATCTTTCTATATTTGTATTCGCTAATTGTTTGGCTGTGTCTTGGTTTATTAGTCTCCTATAAATGATTTATTTAATTAGCCCCGTATAAATGGATACTTAATGTGTTTCTAAAGTTTTACTGTTATAAACAAGGCTATTCATTCACCCATTTTTTGCAGTTTATCTTACTCAAAGTCTAATTATTAGGTTAAGAGCAGCTCTTTTTTTCTTTTTTACATAAATGGTTTACTGAATACTTAGTTTTAATATATTTTGATCTAATATAATGAGACCAATAAGTTGAATTAAGTTCTATACATAAAATTCTGCAAATAGCAATCGAGAGAATATTACAGGTAAGATTCTAGATGCAGACTACTAGATTCTAAAGAATTCAAAGGTAAAAAAGGCACTGCTCTGGTTGTGACAGGAGTTTACAACCCAGAGATTATAGAATTGAGTCAATATCATAGCGATGTAGGACGCTTTGATTGTTTTATTGCTTTGTTCTGCCGTATGTCTTTATCGATTCTTAAAGGAAAACCGTATAGGTATATTTATTTATACTTCACGTATCTTTTTCCTAAACAGGAAGATAGTTCTGCTTGCAGGATGGGCATTGTTCTTATTCCTTGCATACAAAGTTTCCAAAACAGACCGAGAATATCAAGAATACAATCCTTATGAAGTATTAAATTTGGATCCTGTAAGTAGTATTTTTCTACAATGCACATTAGTTTATTGACTCTATGAAAATACTGTAAGCCCATATCCTGAAAGGAATTGGGTTGTGCCTGAAGAAATCAGACTTTGGATATGTAATCCATTATTATTCTAATGTATATATGTTTTTTAAGCTGCAGATGTTAAGTTCCATCCTAGTAAGGCTTGGTTTGAAATTGCTAAATATAAGAATGTTTGAAGATGAGATGAGAAGTTAGTATATTTTTAAAAGACTTTTATAAGATTGGTTTAATGCAAAGTTAAAACCAGGGGGTTCATTTATGTTTTTTGGATGGTAAAAATCTCATGATCCTGTGTTAGTTGACACTAAAGCAGTGTGTTAAGTCTTTCTGTCTTACAAAGAACCGGTTTCATTGTTAATGGTTTTATAGAAGCAAAATTTGCGTCATATCATCTGATTTTTCTTACTGTGATGATCATGATCAAGAGAGAATTTTTTTAAGATTAAAAGATTTTGGGGGGGCAATTTAATGCCATAAAAATCAATATGAAAAATTTATTAATAGAAATTGAGTCTAATTAGGAAACAGGTAAACTTCTTAAGTGTTTAACATTAAAGTATTGATAAACAAATGAAACCAAATATTCTTCTGATTATTTCTTAGAAAGGGAGTTAACCTTTGATTTGAGAGTTTCTTCAGACAGACTTAATTTACTGTGATCACTTTGATATTTAAATGTTGCTATCTTTTTATTTTATTTTAATATGGCATTGTGTGATTTCATTCTTAAATCCTTGGTGCCTGGTGTTACACAACGCCCAGTAGGTGCTCAATAAAATAAACATATTGGACAAAATAAGTATATTTTTATTTAAAAAAATACATGGGATGAAACTTACGGGACAATTATATAGGATGAAAACATTTTCTCTTTCTGAAAATATCGAATAGTTTATATTTTAAAGTTCAAAATAGGATGAATTATGTTTTTACAGCATTGTGCTTATTTTAACTAAAACAAAGCTTTCTTTTTAGGGGGCAACAGTAGCAGAAATTAAGAAACAGTATCGTTTGCTCTCACTTAAATATCATCCAGATAAAGGAGGTGATGAAGTTATGTTCATGAGGATAGCAAAAGCTTATGCAGCGTAAGTATCACAGGACCCATTACACATTTTTAGGAGTGGTAAAGATAGTTTTTTATTTGAATAAAATATTTGTCATAAGCTTTTAAATGATGATGACCTTATATGTTGAGTCTATTTATGGAACTGCCTGACAACCCTAAACTGCTAATTTAACTAAACTTGAATTTTAAGTAACCTAGAATAGTGCTTTTGCCCTGTGAAGTTAGTTAAATTCAGTAGTAGGTAATATGTTAATTGAGTTATTTTCTAAGCATTCTGATTAGAAGAGGATATACTTATACCTTGTTTTCATATCTAGGCTTTTTTTAGACTAGATCTCTTTCTCTTATTTTGGAAACGTAGCTTATCTTAGCTATCTAAAGACTAGTTTAATTTTTGGGGAACAAGATAAGGGTATATAGAATTAGAGTTTTTCCTTGAGTGTTAATATTACAAGAGATAAAAGTTAGCTGGATTCTTCAGGGCTCATAGGCATATCCCAATACAGCTCTTATGTTAAAGAGTAAAATACAGACAAGATGTTGTCTCTTTTTAGAGGACTCAGTGATGTATAATTTTGTGCTGATTTTAAAACAGAAGTAAATAATAGGACAGGCGCCTGGGTGGCTCAGTTGGTTAAGCATCTGCCTTTGGCTCAGATCATGATCCCAGGGTCTTGGGATCGAGCCCTGCATTGGGCTCTCTGCTCAGCGGGAAGCCTGCTTCTCCCTCTCCCTTCGCCTGCCACTTCCCCTGCTTGTGCGCTCTTTCTATGTCAAATAAATAAATAAAATCTTAAAAGAAAAAAAGGTAAATAGGATACTCAGATGTAATATCAAGTAGAAGTGGTATATGACTTACAGAAGTTTGGGAAATACTCATTTTGTGCTTAATAAAAGTATACTGACTGTGTCTCCTCTCCCCTCTTTTTTGTGAGTTGCTTGTTACATATGTGAATATGATTCTGTGATAAAGCAGTGCCTTCAGGAACTTCCTGAAGTGTGTACTACATTTCGTTTTCTGCATGGCAGATGTCCTCCAGATTGCTGTTTTTCAGTTGGTGTCTTCCCCTTTTTTCACTGTGTCTCTTCTAAGCATTTACTCTCATTGCTCAAGTGTTTCAGTGCTTTAGTTGCTGTCTTCAGGTAATTTGAGAAGAACTGAAGATACCCAGAGGAAGTCAGATAGCTAAGATTGATTAATTGGTAGTTTTAATTTTAGTCCCTTTGTCCCCCCTCCCCCCTCAGTTTTCAGATATTGTAATATTCTTAAGTTCATGATTTTGTTCTCACGTTACTGGAAATCTGACTCTTTATGTTGTATGGTCACTATTCTAAAAAGTACAGAAGAAGAATATATGGCCTTTGGTTTTAACTCAATTATATGATCAAGCTATAGAATGCTTTTTAAGTAAAATGTCTTAAATAGTTGATGGTCCGTAAGACAAATGAAGGAGTAAAATAATTATGGGACCCAGAACTTTGAGATCTTGTAACTTGTATAAGTATAAATGGATTAGATAAATATAAGTTCTGGGCGATTGAAGTTCCCATTTTATGCATAGTTCTAGCAGCCGAAGTATAACTCAAGCAGCTTTTGGAATGTGTTTATAGGCTTTGAACTGCAAAGTTTTTTAGAATTTGCTTTGGCTCTTCAGGATATTTTCTCTTCCCTTATTTGCCCATTATAATAACAAGCTGGGTCTTTCCTATTTCTTCATACCAGTTTCTAACTTAAAGGAAAGGAGGTGGTTATTTTTGAGGAGTTAGACCAACTATTGAATTTTCTGGTTCATAGTTTCTGGTTTCTTTTGGATATAGTTGGGATTTGGCTTTTGGGTGTAAAACATATGTTTAAGCTACTTTATAACAAGTGGACAACATAGATGTTACTTTAAAGCTATTTTTTTTTTAAATGTGTTTTTGTGTGTTCCTATGCATGAATATGTAACTTAGTAATGTAGTCAACTCAGGGTCATTCACCTATAATTTAATGAAAACATTCTCTAGATCAGGATGTAAAATCTGGGACCCCTGAAACTGTATACAGAATTTTTTTTTTAAAGATTTTATTTATTGATTTGAGAGAGAATGAGAGAGAGAGAGAGAGCACGAGAGGGAAGAGGGTCAGAGGGAGAAGCAGACTCCCTGCTGAGCAGGGAGCCCGATGCAGGACTCGATCCCGGGACTCCAGGATCCTGACCTGAGCTGAAGGCAGTCGCCCAACCAACTGAGCCACCCAGGCACCCTGTATACAGAATTTATGTGTATTGTTAACTATGCATTTTTCCAGGGCCAGAAGGGTTAGAGATTTTATCGAATTTGTAATAGGATCTATGACACAACCTCCCACCCGCAAAGTTAAGGGATATAATCATGTTTAGGAAACTTTATACGCCTTGAATTTTTAAAAATTATGTTAATATTACTGGTCTTGTTTAACCTTATTATATATGAATTATACTAAAATGTACATAACTTTTTTTTTAAGATTTTTTATTTATTCATTTGAGAGAGAGAGAGCGAGAAAGCCAGCACAAGCAGGGAGAGAGGGAGAGGGAGAAGCAGACTCCCCGCTAAGCAGGGAGCCTGATGCGGGGCTCGATCCCAGGACCTAGAGATCATGACCTGAGCTGAAGGCAGACACTTAACCATCTGAGCCACCCAGGCGCCCCTAAAATTACATAACTTTTAAGTATTTTTTAAGTCTTAGGAATGGTATACTGAAGCACTAATAAGTAGCCAAAAATGTTCCTTTCTTACACTTTTAAAAAGTTTATGATAAAGTTCCTTTAATTTGATTGAGTAGGGAGCATGGTGCCTGTCACACACCAGTTGTACAAATCAGCTTAATGAATGAATTAATGGAATGGTAATCGACTGTGTATGCAGTTTGAAAAAATGAAGTGTTTCTATGATGTGAGCTATGCTTTATTTTGCAAAATCAAGGGCATTGTGTAGAGAACAAAGCAGTTTATTATGCTGCCATCATTAGAAAGGTAGAGCGGACAGATAATTATTTTTGGGAAAAGAATCTGATAAGAGGACAGAATATTGAGAAAAATAATAGCAAAACCCCTGGGTAAGTGGACAATTGTACAGGGAAACCAGGGCAAAATTTTTTGAGAAATATCCCTCCCTTAGCAAAAAAGAGCCACCATAAGCACCATCCTTAGGAACCTCTCTACAGTGCTTTTTGTTGGCTTCTGTATTTTACTGTGGACTTAGGTCAAATAGTATAAGTGGAGTTAAAGTTAAAAAGGGACTGAAGATGTCAATGTACTTGTTTTCATAAATGACCAAATTGATAAGTTTAAAAATATTTTCAGTTCCTGACGAACATAGGTGCAGAAATCCTCAGCAAAATATTACCAAGTCACATTCAACAATATATTAGAAGGATCATTCACCACAATCAAGTAGGATTTATTTTGGGGATGCAAGGATGTCTCAGTATTTGCGAAATCAGTCAGGGTGATACACCACGTTAATAGAACGAAGAATAAAAATCAGATGATCATCTCAATAAATTCAGAAAAAGTATTTTGCAAAATTCAACATCTGTTTTATGATAAAACTCTCCCTCAACTGTTAGAGTCTTAGAGGGAACATAGCTCAACATAATAAAGGTCATATATGAAAAACCCACAGCTAACATCATACTCAGTGGTGAAAAACTGAGCTAAGACAAGGATGTCCACTCTCACCACTTTTATTCAACATAGTACTGGAAGTGCTAGCCACAACAGTCAGACGAGAAAAATAAATAAAAGACATTCATATTGGTAAGGAAGAAGTTAAACTGTAACCTTTTGCAGATGGCATGAAAACCCTAAAGACCACCAAAAAACTTTTTAAAAGTAATAAATGAATTCAGTAAAGTTGCAGGGTACAAAATTAATACCTAGAAATTGGTTGCATTTTTACACACTAATAATGAAATAGCAGAAAGAATTAAAACAATTTCATTTACAATTGCATTAAAAAGAATAAAATACCTAGAAATAAGCTTAAGGAGGTGAAAGACCTCTGTACTCTGTATGATGAAAGACATTAAAGATGACAAAGAAATGGAAAGATATTCCATGGTCATGATTAAAGAATTAATATTGTTAAAATGTCCGTATTACCCAAAGCAATCTACAAATTCCATATAATCCCTATCAAAATACCAATAGCATTTTTCACAGAACTAGAATAAATAATTCTAAAATTTATATGGAACCACAAGAGACCCCGAATAGCCAAAGCAATCGTGAGAAAGGAGAACAAAGTTGGAAGTATAACAATTCGAGATTTCAAGATATACTGCAAAGCTATAGTAACTAAACTGTATAGTATTGGCACAAAAGTAGACACACAGAATAGTAGAACAGCATAGCGAGCCCAGAAATAAACCTGTGTTTATATGGTCAATTTATGACAAGGCAAGAATATACAATGGGGAAAGTCAGTCTCTTCAAAAAATGGTGCTGGGAAAACTGGACAGTTACATGCAAAAGAATGGAACTGGACCACTTTCTTACATCATACACTAAAATAAACTCAAAATAGATTAAAGACCTAGTTCTGAGACCTGAAACCATAAAACACCTAGAAGAACATAGGCAGTAATTTCTTTGAGATCCACCATAGTAACATTTTTCTAGATAAAATTCATGAGGCAGGGGTGCCTGGCTGGCTCAGGCAATAGAGCATAGGACTCGATCTCAGGATTGTGAGATGAAGCCCCACACTGGGCGTGGAGCCTACTTAAAAAGATTTAAAAAATTATAAGGCAAGGGAAACAAAAGCAAAAATGAACTATTGGGACTACACAAAAATAAAAAGCTTTTGTACAGTGGAGGAAACCAATAAAACAAAAAGGTAACCTAGTGAATGGGAGAAGATATTTGCAAATGATATATTCAGTAAGGGGTTAATATCGAAAATATATAAAGGACTTACATAATGCAACACCAAAAAACCAACGATACAATTAAAAAATGGGCAGAAGACCTTAATAGACATTTTTCCAAAGAAGACATATAGATGGTCAGTAAACACATGAAAAGATGCTCAACAGCACTAATCATCAGGGAAATGCAAATCAAAACCACAATGAGTTATCACCTTTCACCTGTCAAAATGGCTACAGTCAAAAAGGAAAGTAAGTGTTGGCGAGGATGTGGAAGTTTCTGTGCACTGTTGGTGGGAATGTAAATTGGTAAAGCCACTGTGGAAAGCAGTGTGGAGGTTCCTCAAAACATTAAAAATAGAAATACCATATGATCCAGTAATTCCACTATTGACTTTTTACCCAAAGAAAACAAAAACATTCATTCAAAAAGATACATGCACCCCTATGTTTATTGCAGTATTATTTACAATAGCCAAGATATGGAAGCAACCCAAGAGTCCACTGATAAATGAATGGATAAAGAAGATGTGGTATACACACACACACACGACTATTACTCATCCATAAAAAAGGATGTGATCTTGCCATTTGTGACAACATGGATGGACGTAAAGGGTATTATGCTAAATGAAATAAGGCAGAAAAAGACATACCATATGATATCACTTATATGTGGAACTTAAAAAACAAAACGAATAAATAACCAAAAAGCAGAAACAGACCCATTAATACAGAGAACAAACTGAGGTTGCCAGAGGACAAGGGATGGGAGGATGGGCAAATGGGTAAAGGGGAGTAGGAGATACAGACTTACAGAAAAAATAAGTCATAGGAATAAAAGGGAATATTTTAAAAATAAGTCATAGGAAATACGGTCAATGTTATTATAATAGCATTGTACAGTGAAAGATGGTAGCTACACTTGTGAGCATAGCATAACTTATAAACTTGTCAGTCTCTGTTTTGTACACCTGAAACTAATGTAATATTGTGTTAACTGTACTTCAATTAAAAAAAAATTAGGGGGCACCTGGCCGGCTGAGTTGGTGTAGTGTGTAAGCCCCACGTTGGATGTAGAGCTTACTTAAACAAGTAATAAAAAATAGAAATTATGGTTTAGAGGAAAAAAATTTGAACTCATTGCAAATTTTTGCTAGTTTTTAAAGGTACTTCTGCAATTTCACTCTTAATACGGAGCTTTGTTGAATAGAAAATTACACTGTATCCTATATGTGTATATTCTGGGAAGGTTAAAATTAGATTTGGATATAAACATAATCTTTTGCCACTTAGTCTTCAAAAAATGCCTTTCTTATGATATTACTGGTCATTTTGTGTGTGTCTGCCTTGTCTGCTTAACAACACTGTAAAGTTTTTGAAGGAATTGAAATTTTCTTTTAGTATTTTTTTAACATCTATTTTGGGACCTGGAATAAAACCACTCTCATTTTGTGCCTTGAGCCATGTCCCAGATCAAGGGTAATATTTCTTTTTATGTGTTTAAAAAAATCACTGTCATTTTTATATTGCTGGGTTAGGAAGCTGTTGTTTTAGCAGGTATTTTCCTAGTCCTTCTGGCAGTTGGTTTAGGAGAAAATTGTGACCTCAGCAACAGTGCAAATGACCTTTTCTATAGCAATGGAATTTTACAGGTGTTCATTTTTTTCTTTGAGAATGTGGTACCAGTTTTGGGATTATTATTATTAATTTGTATTAAGTTTATAAATAGGTATATATTATTATTGAAGTATAAACAGTGCTCATTGAAGAAATTTTGGAAAATATATGAGGATATAAGAAGAAAGTCACCTATAATCTTCCCTGCCTTCTCAGAAAATGTAGTAACGTTTAAAGTTTTATCTTCCTGCTTGAACTGGCAAAACTTGAGAACCCACGGGCCAACCAGGAATTTCTATAAAGGCTCAGTAGTTCTCATTTGCTTTAATGTAGAACTCCTTGTTTTCCTCTCTTTTTTTCTGATTTCAGAGAGGCTTTTCTTGATTTTCTAAAATTAATATCTATAAGAAATGAGTTGGTTAGTTAATAGAGTTTGTATATATGAGTACCTTTCAGATGTGCCTTTCTAATTTTGCAATTTTGTTCTTTTAATGCTAGTTTAACTGATGAAGAGTCGCGGAAAAATTGGGAAGAGTTTGGAAATCCAGATGGCCCTCAAGGTGTGGTAAATAATAATTACAAATTACTGGTGATATGGTGTGGATATATATATATGTGTGTGTATGTGTATATATATATAATGAAAATATTAATAGATTGAGCAGAATATTTTGATTTTCTTAGTTTGTTAATAGGAAAATTATAACCTCAAGGAGCTAAATAGATATGTAAATGAGCTCTCATTAGCTAATTTTTACTTTATTTTTCTTTCTAGCAACCAGTTTGAAAGATAGAACTTAGATTAGGTTGATGAGAAGTGTAATCACTGTAATTATTCATCATTTCCAGCTAGCAGTTGATAAAAGTTGGATGAAAACAATCTGTTTTTCTTTACTGACTTTAAACATTTTCTTGTATATTCATAGTGTTTACATTACCCAGGACATATAAAAAAAGAATTTAGATTTAATAAGAAGGAATTCATGTACTTTGGTCAAGTTTCCCCCCCCCTTCTGGAAAAATCCATTAACTTTTATGTAATGGGAACACACATAATATAATCTTTCTTAAAGCTTTTATTGGGCTAGGGGGAGTTGGGAGGCAGAATTTTGGGATATAACTAAATAATAAAACTGGAAGTTGAGATTCTTCAGAAATAACTCTTTCTGTTTTAGCCACAAGCTTTGGAATTGCCTTGCCAGCTTGGATAGTCGACCAGAAAAACTCAATTTTGGTGAGTGCATGTATGTAAGACACATTATAATGTGTTAGATATAGCTTAGTAATATAAAGGGAGCTATAACAAAATACTGCAATGCCGTTTTTAACGTAACTGTGTATTGTGAAAACTTTTTACATAACGGAGAAAAGAATTGGTTCTCATTATTAGGTTGCTATTTGGGCAGTGTGTTCTAAATGTAGTTTAAAACCTTAAAGCTGTGATTTCTTTTGGAGGTGGTTTCAGGTCAGGTCTTACCATTGGTTTGGAGAACTATGGTTTTATATGGTATCCTAAGTCGTACTCAAAATTTAAATTATCCTTCATTTTACATTTATCCAAGCTAAATTAATGTTATAACATGTGCTAAATTAATGCTATATATATTCCATATGGTACTTAGGGAGGCAGTAGGATATCAGACTTTTTTTTTTAAGATTTTATTTATCTGAGAGAGAAAGAGAGAGAGAGATGAGGGGCATACGGGAGGGAGAAAGAATCTGAAGCAGACTCCGCACTGAGTGTGGGGCCCAGCGTGGGGGCTCAGTCCCATGACTGTGAGAGCATGACCTGAGCCATAACCAGGAGTTGGACACTCAACCAACTGAGCCACCCAGGTACCTCAGGATATCAGACTTTTAATCAGTGATAGATGCTGCAACTCTAAAACGTCAGGAATTATCTTAACCTATTGTTCAGGAATAGATGTTTCCCTATTTCACATTTCTTTTTTTTTTTTTAAAGATTTTATTTATTTATTTGATAGAGACACAATGAGAGAGGGAACACAAGCAGGCGGAGTGGGAGAGGGAGAAGCAGGCTTCCCGCTGAGCAGGGAGCCCGATGTGGGGCTCTATCCCAGGACCCTGGGATCATGACCTGGGCCGAAGGCAGACCCTTAACGACTGAGCCACCCAGGAATCCCTATTTCACATTTCTTAAAAATGATTAGGAGCTGTCTTTGAAGCAATAAAAAAGAAAATTCATATAGTCTGTCATTTGTTTTGAAAATGGCTGTTTAATGTTCTTTTATGGCTGATGAACATTATCTTCAGGGATATATGGTTTCGTATATAAGAGTGTCTGTCATGGGGCACCTGGGTGGCTCAGTCGTTGAGCGTCTGCCTTCGGCTCGGGTCATGATCCCAGGGACCTGGGATCGAGCCCCGCATCGGGCTCCCTGCTCCGCGGGAAGCCTGCTTCTCCCTCTCCCGCTCCCCCTGCTTGTGTTCCCTCTCTCGCTGTGTCTCTCTCCATCAAATAAATAAATAAAATCTTCAAAAAATCAATCAATAAATAAATACCATTAAAAAAAAAAGTGTCTGTCATGCTTAGGATTACTGTGGGAATACTGGAGAAGAGAGATAGTTAGCTACCTGATTTGGGATCAAGTAGTAGGAGAAAAATCTAAGACCAATAGATAGAAATTACTTGTAAACAGAACATTATGAAGTTGTTCCTTGATAAGGAACTAGGCTTCTGTTACTTATTTCTGAGACACTAACTACTTGCGAAGGTGTGCATCTATAAGTACCTGACTGGATGGAAAATATCATTTATAAAGCTGTTTTGCTGGTGTTATCTACAGAGCAGATTAAAAGGTAATTTATTGTAGTGGATAAAAGCGTAAATTTTTAGAGTTGAAATGCCTGGATTCCAGTCCTGGCTCCACCACTTGCTAGTTGTGTGACTTGGGACAAGTCATGTAACCTATGTGTGCTGCAGGTTCTGTATTTGCAAAAGGAAAATAATAATGGTACCTTTCTCATAGAGTTTGAAAATAAGGTTTAAATGAAATAATACATGAGGAGTGCTTTTGATAGTGCCTCTCCCAATGTAAACCTAAAAATAAGTGTTCCTGGTATTATAATTGACCTGTGAAAGGCATAATTATTTTCTTTTCAATTCTAGGTTTTACTTGTATATGGATTAGCATTCATGGTTATCCTTCCAGTTGTTGTAGTAAGTTCTAACTCTTTTTTTTTAACAATTTTTGGAAAGGGAATTGGTGGTATGCTTTGGAATCTCCCTGTAAGATTGCAATTTGTATTAGAATATAATCCATTGATCCTTGAATTTTAAGAATCTTAATTCAACTATACTTTAAAAGTCTTCTAAGGTGATATCATTTGAGTATGTTAAAGTATATCTCCTCCCAATACAAAAGTTACACAACTGAAATAATACAGGTGTATTTAGAGTTTAGAATATCTTCCTGCATCACCTCCCTCAACTTCGTTTCTTCGTTAGAGATAATCACTGATAAGTTTGGTGTTCTCCCTTTCAGATTTTTAAAAAAATGTTTATTTATTTATTTTTGAGGGGGAGGGACGGGGGGAGAGGGAGAGTAAGAATTTCAAGCAGACTCCCTGCTGAGCATGGAGCCCTGAGATCATGACCTGAGCCGAAATCAAGAGTCGGACGCTTAACCAACTGAGGCACCCAGGTGCCCCTTTCAGATATTTTTCTATGGATTGTATATATATATGCACTTTAAAAAAAAAAATGTCTTACTGTATGTATTGTTCTGTGACTTTTTTTGCTTCCTATATTGGGGGCACAACATACAGAGCAACCTCATTTTTAAAAACTATTGCATAACACCTCAATATGGAGATAACATAAAGTTTATGATTTTACTGTTTCTTTTGTGACTGGTGGTTTTCTTTCTGGTCTTATAGTTTCTCTGAGTCCCCTAGTGAGACTGATAATTAACCTGTCTTGCCTTCTTCATAGGTTTGTTGTGTGAGGATCCAGCTATATGGAATCATGTGAATGAAAGTAGTATATCAACTGTAAAATTGCTCCTGCACTTATTTATCAAATATTTATTAAATACAAACTGTCAGGAACCAGCTTGTTGCTTTTATAGCAATGGGTTGTTTTGTTTCTGTTTTATCTTCAGCTTCTAACTGAACCATAAATGTTTTAATCATATATATGTAGTGAGGTAGGTTGGTGTTTAGGTGTTGGGCAGTAAAAATACTTGCTAAATAATTTGAAATATGTAACAAAGCATTTTTCTAAAATTCAGGTATTGTTACTTGTTTTATGAACATTTAGAAAATTTGACCAGAAACATATTCTGCATCAAACCTAATATTTACTGTGGTTTTGATACTTTATTTATTTTTTAATTTTATTTGCATTTTAGGGCTCTTGGTGGTATCGCTCAATACGCTATAGTGGAGACCAGATTCTAATACGCACAACACAGATTTATACATATTTTGTTTATAAAACCCGAAATATGGATATGAAACGTAAGTAAATTTAAGTAGCTGTGATAGTAGATTATTTTCCGAGTCATTTATGTGATATATATTCAACTGGAGACATTTCATTTCAGTTTTATATTCTGTTCATATAACTAAAGCTGGAGAAGAATGCTAACACCCTTTATCACATGTATTTTTTTTTTTTTTAAGGTTTTTTTTTATTTTTTTGACAGAGAGAGGGCAAAAGCAGGGGGGGGGGCAGGCAGAGGCAGGGGGGAAAGCAGGCTCCCCACAGAGCATGGGGAGCCTGATGTGGGACTCGATCCCAGGACCCTGGGATCATGACCTGAGCCCAAGGCAGTCACTTAACCAACTGAGCCACCTAGGCGCCCCCATGTATTGTATTTCTGTTATTCCCATTTACTCAGCTATATATATATATATTTTTTTTCCCCTAGAAATTGTATGGTAAAGCTTCATGTGGGTTAATTTTGTAATAATACTAGCTAATATTTCTTGAGTGTTTGTTGTATACTAGGGATTATGTATGTGTTAACTCAATCTTTATTTTGCTCCCATAAGTAAGTTACTGTTTTTAAGCACATTTTATAGATGGGGAAACTGAACTTAAGGATACTTACAGTAAGTGGTAGAGTTAGTATCAAACTCAAGCAGTCTGTTTCCCAAGCCCTAAATCAGTACGTTATACTGTATTAGTCTCAATAAAATAGGTAGAGGTCTTGGATGTGTTGAAAGAAAATTGTCAGAATATTTAATTCACAGATTCTTATTTCAGAATTTCTTTATGGAAAAAAAAAGTTCCATTTAAAATACTTTCTTTGATTCCATAAAGCTAACAGTATAAATTTTATCCTTGGAATACATAATGTTGCATTTCAGAATCACTGCTCTGCAGAACTTACAGACATATCATAGAAAAACCCTGCTTCCCCTCCTTGGGAGAAAAAAAGGAAGATAAAAGTTTTAAAAAGTTTTAGATTGTGCCTCACTGTAGAATACATTTTTGTTCCAAAACCTAAATGGAGTTTTCTGTAGTTTGGATTTGGCCAGTTTTATTAATTTTTTTGGTAATGAGAAAGAGACTTCTCAGAATCATGTAACTGTGTGAACAGATCTTTTATTTTTGGAGTATTTTTGGAATGAGCAGATCATTTATTTCTGAGGAATAAGTGGTTGTTACTCTCCCTTTTACACACATATATCACTTTTCCTTATGTTGAATTGAGATATTAATACAGAAACCACCTTATGAAAGTGTTTCATGTTTATGGTGTGTTTTAGTGTGTTTTTTTGCATCAGTGGTCTTGATTTCTGTTTTATTTCTGACAGTGACACTTAGCCTTACACAATTCTATGAGAAAAACATTGTTAAGCTGCTGGTGGGCTTGGTTATACATCCTTGGTTACTTTAGTGTTGGCATCATTTATTATATAGCTATTTTAGGAGTAGTTGTTTCATGAAACATTTGAGGGTAGTGATGGTAGTTAGTAGCTTACACATACTACTGTGCTTACTGTGTGTCAGGCACATTTGAAGAAACTGAAGCCCATAGAGAGGTGAAGAATATTGTTCTGGGTCATTTAGTTAGGGAGTGAAACTCTAGGGTCTATGTTCTTAACCTCTGTACTGTCCTGCTTTTTGTGAATACATTGCATGCATTTTTTGCTGGAAGGTGAGATTGATGACTGCAGTGCCAGTCATCAAACCTAAAACTCTTTTTAACTCATTGTTTCTCAGCCTTGTTTAACTATGGAACCCCTCTTTTTTCCACTTAAAAGTTATTAAGATCACGTGGGATACTTAATAATTGCTCTGTAGAAAGCTTCTGTGGAACACATGCTTAAGTCTAGAAACAGATGCTATTTAAACTGATTTTAATGCATCCAGTGCTTTGGGGCCCTTGATTTGATGTATATTTCTATTTACTTGTGATAGGTAATATTGTACATATTTTAAAAAGTGAAACGTTTCTTTTTTTATGGGAAAAATGAATACTTGTTAATGGAGTTTGGATGATTTTTAGCTTTCCATGCAAGTGGAAAATTGCCTCAGTGTAGGATTAATGAAGTATCACAGGAGAGGAAGTTAATAGGTGAGCAAATGTATTTATTTACCTTCATATCACTTTTGTTTTCTTAGGTCTTATCATGGTTTTGGCTGGAGCCTCTGAATTTGATCCTCAGTATAATAAAGATGCCACAAGCAGACCAACAGATAATATTCTAATACCTCAGGTTAGGCCTAGCTCCCAGATTCCTTGATATAAGCATTTAGGTATTAAAGTTAATGCTTTTTTAGGTATATATTTTTTAATAATTATTTTATTTACTCTAGCTAATCAGAGAAATTGGCAGCATTAATCTAAAGAAGAATGAGCCTCCACTTACCTGCCCCTATAGCCTGAAAGCCAGAGTTCTTTTACTATCTCATCTTGCTAGAATGAAAATTCCTGAGACCCTTGAAGAAGGTAGGATTCTAATATCTGCAGGGTTTTTTGTGTTTTTTTAATATTTATTTATTTTAGAGAGGGAGCACACGAGCTGGGGGAGGGGGAGGATGGGGGAAAGAATCTCAAGCAGACTTGGAGCTGAGGATGGAGCCTGGGGTGGGGCTTGATCTCACAAACCTGAGATCATGACCTGAGCTGAAACCAAGAGTCAGATGCTTAACTGACTGAGCCACCCAGGCACACCTCAGCAGGGTTTTAATAGTACAAAAGCAGTGGATTTAATTAGACCTCATGGTGCAGTGTTTTGGCCCTGTTCTTTTTTGCTCAATCAAATAATTGCTCAGGGACCTTTTAAAAAGAAAACTTTATGCTACATAATTCACAAATATTTTGAAAGTCTAAAGTAAGTCAGATACTTTGACAAATGTTAAAATTTAGTATTTCAAGGTGAGAGAAGACTCTGAGAAATGTTTATTCAGTTGCAGATTATATAGTAATTTCTAGTGAGTTTTTAAAAAAGATTTTGTAAGCTTTTTAAGCTTTTTGGGGGAAGAAAAAATGGATTTCACAACAAATATCTCAGTCAGCCACCACTACTACCATCACCTCCAGCAGTAATTGCTGATAAAGGATTTAATTTTTATTGAAAGCTTCCTAAATTGCTTGAAGCCACCTCTCTATGTAAAAGAAAAGCAGTGGATTGGGACAGTGCTGTTTCCAGGGATGTCATGAATTTGAGTGTCATTTCTTCTTTACTTGCGTTACTTCATTTGAAGTTTTAAAAGAAAATTATTATACCTAGGGAATAAATGTTCTTTCTGAATGAAGCTCCTCTTCTTCTGTCCCTTTTTAAAGCCAATAATGAAATCAAATGCCTCCAAAAACAAGGCTAGCTGATGCTCAGTAATTGGTGATAAGATAGGATACTTATGATGGAATGAAAGATCACTATTTAGGCATTTTGTTGGAGTTGCAAATTAACCAGTAATTCTGATTTTTCTAATATTCTGTACAGATATGAAACCATCTCCATTTTTTACCAATTAAGTAACAGGGAACAAATATTTTTTTAGGTTGAGTACTAACCCCATTGGATGATCTTAATAGTTAACCATTACATGCAGTAAAAATGAGTCTGTCTCCTTCCTCTTCCTCCCCCCTTCTCTTTCTGCATTGAGTTAAGATTTATTCTCAATCTTAGTCTTTGGACTTATTCATAGTTATAGAAACTTAGGTGCACAAGAAGAAGATTCTTAAGGTTCTTAAATATAGTAAGATTAGAATTAAGTTTAAGACTATTCTTCCAAAAAAGGGAGTTAACTTACGAAGCACAACACCATAATATTAAAAATTTGCCTTTGAAACATCTAATCTGATCTAGGGTTTTCTGACTGATTTTTGACAGTGATGCTTAGGAGAAACTGTTGTGTTCAACCTTTAAAATTCTGAGGTCATCTGAAATATTTATGGGACAACTTGAATTTAGTATTAGTCTTGGACTATAGATGATAAAGATGTTTCAACTATAAAAGTGGAATGATTTGTTTCAGGTTTTCTATTGTTTTGCAGATCAGCAATTTATGTTGAAAAAATGCCCTGCCCTACTTCAAGAAATGGTTAATGTAATCTGCCAGCTAATAATAATGGCCCGGAGCCGTGAAGGTGAGGTGGAAATGTAATTAATTATGTTGTACTTTTTCTTGCAAGCTCCTGGAGATTATACTTACAGTTTTAGGATTTTTGAGTGCCTACAGTAATTCTGCCTATGTATTATATAAGTTGAATCAGCTTTCCCACTTTTATTCATGGTTTTTCTTACTTCTTTCCCGTATGTTCCATTATGTAAAGTCTTTATCACAATTCATGTTTTTGAATTTATTTATTGTTTTATTGTTTGTTGTCACTTATTGTTTGTAAAGATTTAAGATACCTTTTCCTTCCTTTGAATATTTTTAGAGTTAGATTATTCTGTATTTTAACAATGAGTTTGAAATAATTAAGTGATGTAATAATGACTCATCTGACATGTAGTGTTTTTTGCATGAAGGGAAAGAAAAAAGAATGAGAGAGTTTGTGGTCATTAATGGAAAGGGAGACCCTTAAAGGAGATAATGGTCATGGTTTGTTGTTATGGCTGATATCAGTTCTTGGCATGGTATCAGTATGTTATTGATACGGATAATTTACTGTTTTGGGAGGTGATGCAAAGAATTTTTCTGTTAAACCAATGTTTGTTGCTGGATAAAGGCTGTTGCATTTGAACATGTTTGTATATTTTTGGTATCTTATAACTTCTTTAATTTAAATTTTAGGTAGTTAACATACAGTGCAACATTGGTTTCTGGAGTAGAATTCAGTGATTTATCACTTACATACAACACCCCGTGCTCATCACAACAAGCGCCCTCTTTAATAACCATCACCATTTAGCTTATCCCCCACCCACCTTGCTCCATCAACCCTCAGTTTGTTCTCTATCATTAAGAGTTTCTTATGGCTTCTCTCTCCTTTTTTTTCTTTTCTCCCCTTTCCATATGTTCATCTGTTTTCTTTCTTAAAATTCTGCATATGAATGAGATCATGTATTTATCTTTCTCTGACTTATTTCACTTAGCATAATATACTCTGGCTCTATTCACATCGTTGCAAATGGCAAGAGTTCATGCTTTTTGATAGCTGAGTAATATTCCATTTTGTATATGTACACCACATCTTCTTTACCCATTCATTGGTTGATGGACATTTGGGCTCTCTCTATAGTTTGGGTATTGTTGATAATACTGTTGTAAACATCAGGGTTCATGTATCCCTTCGAATCTCTGTTTTTGTGTCCTTTGGGTAGATACATAGTAGTGCAATTGCTGGGTCATAGGGTAGTTCTAGTTTTAACTTTTTGAGGAACCTCCCTACTGGATTTTACAACTTTTATTTTATTTTATTTTTTTTAAGATTTTATTTATTTATTTGACAGAGATAGAGAGAGAGAGCACAAGCAGGCAGAGAGGCAGGCAGAGGGAGAGGGAGAAGCAGGCTCTCCACCGAGCAGGGAGCCCGATGCGGGACTCGATCCCGGGACTCCAGGATCATGACCTGAGCCGAAGGCAGTCGCTTAACCAACTGAGCCACCCAGGCACCCGGATTTTACAACTTTTAAAGGAAAATCAACACTATGATCTTAAAATTTGAGGTGTTAACGATATTCATATGAGTCATGTTTTCGTGATGAGTTGTGTACTCCGGAACACATAAAAAGTCCAGCCTTGTTTTTTCTTTTATTCCTGTTCTTTCTAAGAAAGGGAGTTTCGTGCTCCAACTTTGGCATCCCTAGAAAACTGCATGAAGCTGTCCCAGATGGCTGTGCAGGGCCTTCAGCAGTTTAAGTCTCCCCTTCTGCAACTCCCTCACATTGAAGAGGACAATCTTAGGAGGGTTTCTAATCATAAAAAGGTAATTCTTTGCCTCTTTAAAATCAGCTTTAAACAGTTTGTCATGTTACTTAAAGGTAGCACGAATGAAAAGTGTTCTAGAAGTGTTTGCTATGACTTTCTTAGATTTAGAATGTCTTAAATTACAACTATTCCTAAAGTGGTTCTGTTAGCATTTTCTTGCTTAGGGAGGTGTCTTATAATATAAATTTACCTACTGTAAGTGATTTTACTACTTTGGAGGTCAGTGCATTTTAGTAATTAAGACTTTGTTCTTTATATTATTTTACCAGAAATAAATGTACAGAGTAAAAATGCACTGAATGCTTTCCAGTCATTTCATGCCTGGCTTTTAAGGTTGGGCATGGTTTATTGGTTGAATAAGAACAAAAAAAATTAAGTTTTCAAAACATAAGTAGATCAAATAAAGATGCTTCTAATTTAGATAATGCAATCTATTGTAAAGATCTGCTAATGAATCTTAAGATATGGCAAAAATGTGTATAAATGAAAAAACTTGAGGAAATATAAGAAAAATTATAATTCTGATAGGAGATTTTAAACATTATTTTGCATACATTAGACAAAGTGGGCGGAAGATAGACATTGGATTTGATAGTATATTAAGGTAGAACTAATGTGTATTAGAGATTCCCATAGGAGTTCTCTTTCCTTTCACGTAATCGTATTGCCCTTATAAATTTGTTCACATTTTGAATTGAAAACTGTGTAATCAAAAAGTGGGCATTCCACATTCCTCATGATCTAAGCCCTGTCTGTGAAAGTAAATATTAATAACTAGTACCAAATGCCTGGAAATGAACACTCTCCTAAGTATCCCTTTAGCCTAGATGGATATTACTGCAATAACAGCTATATTTAGAAAATAACAAAAATGAGAATATTGTGTAGTAAAACCTTAAGGATGCAGTTGTACTTGGAGATAAATTCATACTCTTAAAGGTTTTTATCATTAAAATTGAAAATATGGGTCAGCAAACTGAGCATATCAAATGATAGTTGTTCTTGATTGGGTCAAGAGTCTATGAATATTACTGTTTTTTTTTCCTCCTAACTTTATTTTTTCTAAATTTAAAAAATTACCCTGTATTAACTTTGTAATTAAAAAAAAAATCCTAAATTTGAATTTCTTTGGATAAAAGGCCATGAAATGCTATAAAGTTGTATTTTTTGCTTTGAAATGTGTGTGCAGATCTTCCTCAGCTTACAGTGGGGTTACATCCTCATAAAGCCATCGATCGTAAGTTGAAAATATCCTAAGTCAAAAATGCATTTAATACACCTAGCCTACCAAACATCATAGCTTAGCCTAGCCTACCTTAAACATGCGCAGAACACTTATATTAACCTACAGTTGGGCAAAATCATCTAACACAAGCCTGTTTTGTAATAAAGCGTTGAATACCTGTCTCTTGTAATTTATTGAATACTGTACTGAAAGTGAAAAACAGAATGATTGTATGGGTACAGAATGGTTGTAAGTGTATGGATTGTTTACTCTTGTGATTGCGTGGCTGATGGGAGCTAGGGAGCTACAGTTTGCTGCTGCTCCCCAGCATAATGATAGTATTGTATCAAATATCATTAGTCCTGGAAAAGATAAAAATTCAGAGTATGGTTTCTGCTGAATGCATTGCTTTTGCAGCACTGTAAAGTTGAAAAATTGTAAGTAGAACCATTTTAAGTTTGGGACCCAGTATAATCTTAGCATTTTTCTAAAAGTTACTGGATTTTGTTTTAGTGAAACATGCTAATTTTCTTTTTGTGAAAAATTCTATGACTTTGGGATTTATTTTCTTTCTCTCTCTCTCTCTCTCTCTCAAAATTCAGTACAAAATTAAGACTATTCAGGATTTGGTGAGTTTAAAAGAATCAGATCGTCACAATCTACTGCACTTCCTTGAAGATGAAAAATATGAAGAGGTTATGGCTGTCCTTGGGAGTTTCCCATATGTGACTATGGATATAAAATCACAGGGTAAGTGGGAGGTTTCCCTGTTGAACATTTTTTCTCTTTTTGATAGATTGGCTTTTGTTTATGTGGCTTAAGGTTCTCAAAACATTTGATATCATAATGTGTAGCTAGACTTTCCAGAACTGTAGTTTGTCAGATTGGCTGTGATGGAATATGATACATGCTTAATAATATTTTTTTTAAAGATTTTATTTATTTACTTGACAGAGAGATAGCGAGAGAGGGAACATAAGCAGGGGGAGTGGGAGAGGGAGAAGCAGGCCTCCCGCAGAGCAGGGAGTCCAGTGCGGGGCTCGATCCCAGGATCCCGGGATCACGACCTGAGCCGAAGGCAGACGCTTAACGACTGAGCCACCCAGGTGCCCCCATGCTTAATAATTTTGAGAATACTGATAGAATCCCATAGAATCTTACTTTTATTATCCTCAGAATGGGATTAAGCTTGAGGACTCTCTGTTCTGTAGTTCAAGTTTTAGGAATATCTTAACTTTTCAAAGATTGAAAGATTTTCAGGTGTACTGAAAGATACTTGAAGTATATATTGTTAGTGTAAAAGAAATAGCTGTTTAGTTCTAAAATTGAGTTTAAAAAGTCCAATTTACTTTAGTAAGCCTTGGAAATTACCATGTTAGAACATGCCACATTTCATGTGTTTTTCTCAACCTGTCTCTATCTTTATGTCCACTGGGGTGAAAAAACAGATTTTTCTACCTACACAATTGTCCTGTGAGTGTCCATTTTAACAACTGAATAATAGTATCATACAGTGGTTACAGAATTAGAGATTATCTACCCATTCCTTCATTGTGACAGTATTCTGAGTTTTGACATTTACTAAGTTCCTGTTGTGAGAACATTCTTGTGGGACCAAGAATACAAGGATGTGTTAGGAATGGTATCTGTCTTTAAAGAGTTTATAGTCTAGTTGAGGAAGTAGGACATAAACATAGGATTAAAAACAAGGAAACATAAGGCAAGTGTTAAGTGAATGACACAGACATTGTGCCATTGATTCATTCAACAACTATTGAGTGCCACCCATTTTATTGGGTGTGGTAAGCAGTGGTAAGCAGTGGTAAGACAAAGCTTCTGCCTTATTGAGTTTGCATTCTAATGGAATTGAAAAGAGATAAATGGCTCTCAAAGACTTGGTGTTTGAGAGGTAAGGTAAACTGCAGTCTGGTTTCAATTTGGCTGGAGTATAGGATACATGTAATGAACACTGGGACTGCTTTGGTGGGGAGTTTGGATTTCCTTGTGATCTCACTGGGAAGCTTCATGATGTATTTCATTCCATAGTATCTTGTATAGACAATTTATTATATTTTCACAATGCTATCCAAATGTGTAATATGAGTAATATAGTTAAAGGAGGGAGAGTAGAAGAATTTTAGAAGCAGGAAAGGAGCATCTGCCTGATCCAGTGCTGGAGATGGTGGATCTCTTTCCCACATTGCTTAGAGGCTGTACAGAATCTCCTGTAGACTTTTTCTCCACTTGAAAGTCTCAAATGGCAGGTAGATATTGTTGTAGCTGTTAATTCACATGCAGTGCTCATGCATGTGAGCATACAACTGTGCAGTGTTGACGAATGTGTAGCCCAGGTTTGATATGAGATAATGGAGACTTCAGATTGAAGAAAGGATATTGTATCCTTCTTTTTTAATAATAATAATTTTTCTTTTTTAGAGCGCGAGGCAGGGGGCGGGGGTGATGCGGGGAGGGGGGAGGTGGGGAAGGGGAAAGGGAGAGAGAATCTTAAGGGGCCCCATACCCAGCGTGGAGCCCGATGCAGGGCTTGATCTCCATACCCTGAGATTGTGACCTGAGCCGAGATCAAGAGTCGGATGCTTAACCGACTGAGCCACCCAGGTGCCCCAGGATATTGTATCCTTCTCGTTGCCCAGCTGTTGCACCTCAAAGCCCGTAATGGAGGAGAAAGTAGTTAAGAGTTTGTTGGAGGCCGTTCTTTTCCCACTGGTGGTGTGTTAATGTAGGCCAGAACAGAGTATGCTAATCTAAATCTGTGTGAAATAAACATCACAAACTTAGAAAAATCTTAGGCAGAAATACATAGTGAAGAAAACTCTTACAGATAAAATTTGGAGGAAAAATGAATTTGAATAAGATATGTTTGATAAGTTATTTCATTTATTAATTTTAATATTAATGTTTATTAATTTTAATGTTGTTTATTTTATTAGCTTTTGGCAATATGTAGCAAATGCGGTTTTAAAAAAGAAGGTGCTTTTTACTATAAACAAAACTTCGAAGTTCTTGCCTTAAGAAATAAATGTAATGTGACTTAGAATACTAGTTCTAATTATTTTATTTCTGACAGGCAGACTGGCATTGATCATATAGGTAAAATCTCGTGAATACAAGGTTTGTACAATTTAATAGAGTGACAGATTTTTATATCACTATGAAAGAAAGCTGTGGTACAGTAGGCCTCACATTATACTTTGTTTTAAAAGACCAGGGTTTGAAACTTGGCAGTGCCAATATAGCCATTATGTGACCTCAGGCATTTTACTTTAGTTTTGAACCTCACTTTCTTCTAAGTGGAAATAGTCTTCAGAGAGGTATTTTAAAGATTAAATGAGTGCATTGTTGAAGGCATCTGGTGGAGTGTTTTTATATAGAGTAGACAGTCAAAATATTTTTTATTAAGTTTAAAATATATTTGAAATACTGAAGTACCAAATTGAATTTTATCATTTACTCTGATTTTTTACTCTCATCTTGTAGTATTGGATGATGAAGATAGCAACAACATCACAGTAGGATCCCTAGTTACAGTGTTGGTTAAATTGACAAGGCAAACAATGGCAGTAAGTAATCTCTTTTTATTTTTATGCTTTAAGAGTTATGTGTTAAAAAAAAGAGTTACGTGTTAAGGGGTGAAGGGGAAAAGGAGGTCCAGACTTCTGATGATGGAATAAGTCATGGGATTCAAAGTATAGCACGGAATATAATTAGGATATTGTGACAGTGTTGTATGGTTACATAGCATAACAGAGAGAGTTGTTGAATCACCATGTTGTACACCTGAAACTAATATAGTGTGAACTATACTTCATTGAAAGAAAAGGAAAAAGTTATGTGTCAGAGTTCTTACATTTATTTTCTCATTTTAAGTCACATATTCTCAAAGTCAAAACCATTATAGTAGTAAAATCTAATTTTGTGAGTCCTATTTAGCTGTTTTTTTTTTAAGATTTTATTTATTAGAGAGAGAGAGACAGTGAGAGAGGGAACACAAGCAGGGGGAGTGGGAGAGGGAGAAGCAGGCTTCCCGCCAAGCAGGGAGCCCTATGTGGGGTTCAGTCCCAGGACCCTGGGATCATGATCTGAGCTGAAGTCAGTCGCTTAACCAGCTGAGCCGCCCAGGCAGTCTGTTTAGCTGTTTTGATATTTTAAATTAATATTCGTAGTTTTCCCCTTAGTTTTTACATACAGAAAACCCTTGGAAAATAGATTAATTCTTCCTGTGATGATTTGTTAATTCCCTGTAAAAACATTATAATAATAAGGTAATGTGAGTTTAGTATTTAAACTCTACTATACAAAGATTAATTATTGATTGTTGTGAATTTCATTACCTGTTCCTTCTTGGTCAATTCTGATTTTACTCTTAATTTTTTAAATTATAGTGAAAATATTTTTTTCTAATTATGTGAAAAATTAATGCTGTCTGGGAAAAAACTTCAGGCATTGCAGAAAAGTATAGGAAAGGATTAAAATCACCTAAAGTCCCGCCACTCTGAGATTATTGATTTTGAAGCTCATCGCTTTAGATACCCTAATGCATGAATACCTGTGGGGTTAAACGGTGTTTTCATGATCATGGATTCCTTCTCTCACCCACCTCCCTCAGGAAACCCCTTGTCAGTCCCAGGCGACCAGAATTTAGTCTTGTGTGTATCCTTTCATATCTTTCTCCATGCTCGTATTTACTGCCTGGGCCTTTACACTGTATGTATATATACACCCTGGTACTTTCCTCATTCTCTTTGATTAAATTCAATCACATTGTATATGTTTCCTGTATATCTTGTTTTTCTTAGTTTCTATTACATATTTGTATTACTTCCCAAGTCAGCTATTACCTCTCAAGTTAGAATCATAGTTGTAACTCGTTTTTAATTGACTGTACTATTTTTAACTCTGCATATTCAGCTAGTGGAAGATTTTAGCCTGTTCTACTCTGGGGCCTGTGAATATCTGCAGGAAACATACTCTGCGTTTAAACCCCATCTCTAAAACCTCTGGTCGGAAAAGCATACTTTGTAGTAGGATATATCAAATCAAAGATGTTGATTTTATGGTAGCAAGTGATAAGGAAGCATTTGTGTCATGGACTCTGGATGAGAAGTACCCCCCAGGAGAAGAGGAAACTTCAAAGCCAGTGGCTAGGATTGGGCATAGAATCCAAATTTATATTACCTACATGCTTCGGAATTCCCAGCCTGAAAAATGAGTGAAAATTGGCCTTGAGCTCTTGACACTTCTGGGATAATTGGTAGGGGAAAAAAAGCAAAATTGCCCTGGAGGAAGGGAAAGAATCAAATATTTATCTTCAAGTTCTTGTATGAACCAAACCTCAGAGTAATTAAGTATTAAAACCCAGCTAATAAATGAAGAAATGAAGCAGAGATGGTAGAATTAGACTAGGGATTGGCAAACTTTTTCTCTAAAGGTCTAATTAGTAAATTTTTAGGTTTTATGGGCCACATGGTTTCTGTAGCAAGTACTGAATTCACAAATGGGCATGGTTGAGTTCCAATAAAACTTTATTTGAAAACCAGGCAATGGGCCATAGTTTGTGGACCCCTGAATTAGGCTAGCAGTTTAAAGCCTGAGTTATCATTGTTTTTACTTGTTAGCTTTAGTAATTCCAGGGAGTTTATTAAACACAACCAACATCACTTATTATCTTCTAGTATAGATTCTCACTGAAACCTTACTGGAATTTAAATCCTAACTTTATGCCTTCTATTCTGATCCTAAGTGGATTATATAGTGGCTATGTCTTTAAATTTTATGGATTTTCTCGGTGCTCCACCCCTTAGGCATTTTATTTACTTATATATGTAATTAATTTTAAAAAAATTAAAAAAAATTTGTTTTTCTTACTTAAACTGTACCCCCAATATGGGGCTTGAACTCACAACCCTGAGATCAAGAGTCTCACACTCTACTGACTGAGCCAGCCATGTGCCCTTCCATAGTTATTTTAAACTATGAAATATTCTTTTTTTTTTAAGATTTTATTTATTTATTTGAGAGAGAGAGAATTAGAGAGAGCACGAGAGGGAAGAGGGTCAGAGGGAGAAGCAGACTCCCTGCTGAGCAGGGAGCCCGATGTGGGACTCAATCCTGGGATTCCAGGATCATGACCTGAGCCGAAGGCAGTCGCTTAACCAACTGAGCCACCCAGGCGCCCTAAACTATGAAATATTCTTGACTTTATAATGAGTTTATATATCTTAAGTCATTGCATTTGTACTTTTCAAAATGTATTCAAGACAGATGTGAGATATTTCAGAAGGTAACTTTTGAAGTATCATTTAGTAATCGCTGAATTTGCACACATCATTTAGTAATTGCTGAAAGTCTGCTGTTCTTCCTCCCTCCACCAATTGTCATCAGTTAAAAAACTTATTGGTCATCGATTTTGAATGATTGCTTTATCTGAAAAATAAACATAGGTTGATAGACTTTATATTTTTCTTCTCTCTGCCTCTAGGAAGTATTTGAAAAGGAACAGTCGATCTGTGCTGCAGAAGAACAGCCAGCAGAAGATGGGGTAAAACTTGATTTTTCTTACTTATCTTTCCTGGTGAAGGAAGTGTTTTCTTCTGTTCTCTGATTGATTTATATTGTTGTGGGAGAGTAATTCAGTTTGTGAAAGCATTTAGTTTAGCCATTTTCATCTAAAAATTATTCTGACTCCCAAATGAGACTGTTGCTATAACTTCTGAGTGTGTGTGTGTGTACTGTTATTTATAGCAGGGTGATACTAATAAGAACAAGACAAAAGGAGGATGGCAGCAGAAGAGCAAAGGACCCAAGAAAACTGCTAAATCAAAAAAAAAGAAACCTTTAAAAAAAAAACCTACACCTGTGCCCTTACCACAATCAAAGCAACAGAAACAAAAGCAGGCAAATGGAGTTGTTGGGAGTGTAAGTTTATTACTGTTATTATCTCTGTCTTTATTGAATTATAACATACACTAAAATGTTCCCATCCTATGTGTAGCTCCTGAAATTTTATGTATGTATGTACCCATGGTACCCAGATTAAGATAGAAAACCTTAGCACCCTAGAGAGCTTACTTGTGTCCCTTCTTAGTCAGTGACCCCCTCCATCTCCCTCCATACCTTCCAGTTTGGGCTGTTATTACCACAGATTAGGTTTGCTTATTCTTAAACTTCATGTAAGTAGAGATATGTTTGTCCGCTTTCATTCAACATTATGTCCGTGACACGCATCTGTGTTGTGTGTATGTGATAACTCCATCTTAAGAATACACTCCAGTTTATCTGTTCTGCAGTTAATGGACATTTGGGTCATTTCTAGTTTTTGCCTGTTATTGAATAAAAATGCTGTGCTTATTCATGTACGTGTCATTTTGTGGACATTTCATTTTTCTTGGTTATGTACCTAGCAGTGGAATTTCTGGGTCATAAAATAAGTGTATATGGTTAGCTCATTGAAAGAGCCTGTTTTCCAAAGTTGTACTGTTCTATGTTTCTACTAGCAGAATATGAGTTCAGTTGTTCCACATCCTCACTAATGCTTGGTTTTACCATTCTTTTTTATTTTAACCACTACAGTGGATCTGTAGTGGTATCTCTGTGTGTGGTTTGTATTTACCTGGTAACTAATGATATGGAGCATCTTTTCATATACTTAGCAGCCATTTGAATATCCTCTTTCTCTACTGGGTTGTCTTATGGATTTGTAGGATTCCTTTGTATATTCTGGATATGAGTCCTTTTTTACTCTCTTAATGGAAGCCTTTGGTGGTACCTAATTTTAAGGAAGTCTTTCATTAATTTCATGGTTATTGCTTTTGAGTCCTGTTGACATTTCTGCCTATCAGAGATTTTAGGATTTTATTTATTTATTTGAGAGAGAGAGCACACGCAGGGGCAGAGGGAGAGGGAGAAGCAAGCAAGCTCCCAGCTGAGCAGGGAGCCCTACATGGAGCTCCATCCCAGGACCCTGGGATCATGACCTGGGCCGAAGGCAGATGCTTCATTGAGCCACCTAGGTGCCCCACAGTATTGAGTCTTTTTACTCATAATCATGGTTTATCTTTATTAACTTGGATCTTCCTTAATTTTTTCTCAGCAGTGTTTTGTAATTCCCAGTGACAGAGGTATGACGCATCTTTCATTAGATTTACCCTTTTGTATTTGATACTTTCTGGTGCTGTTGCATATAACATTAAAAAAAAAATCCGTTCTTCAGTGTTTATTGCTGGCACGTAGAGATACAGTTGTCTTCTAAATATTGACCTTGTATCAAGGAGTCTTGAACTGACAGTATGGGCATACCTTGTTTCATTGCACTTCAGTTTCTTGCACTTGTCAGATACTGCATTTTTTACAAATTGAAGGTTCGTGGCAACCCTCTGTTGAGCAAATCTATCAGCACCATTTTTCCAGCAGCATTTGCTCACTTTGTGTTTCTGTCACATTTTGGTAATTCCCTCAATATTTTACACTTTGTATTATTATATTCGCTATGGTGTTCTGTGATCAGAGATTACAGCTCGCTGAAAGCTCATGTGATGGTTAGCATTTTTTAGCAATAATGTATTTTTTAATTAAGGCATGCACATTTTTTAGACAGAATATTGCTTGCACACTTAACATACTATAGTATAGTGTAAACATAACTTTTATATGTAGTGGGAAACAAAAAAGTCACTTGACTTTATTCCGATAATCTCTTTACTGCAGTGGTCTGGAACTGAACCTGCAATATCTCCGAGGTATGCCTGTAATTCTGATCATTTGTAGGTACTTTTTAAAAGATTTTCTGTGTACACAATCATGCCATCTAGGAATAAAGACAGTCTTACTTTTTTCTTTTTAATCTTTTTGCTTTTTCTTCCTTTCTGTCTTACTGTAATGGCTGAAACTTTCAGTGTAGTAATGTTGGTTAGGAGTGAGGACGGTGGTCACCCCTGTCTTCTTGTTTATCTCCAGGAGAAAGGGAACAAACTATTAAGTGTGATGTTAGCTATAGGGTTTTTGTAGATATTCTTTATCAGGTTTGCTGAGAATTTTTATCATGAACAGTACTGAACTTTATTAAATGCCATTTCTCCATTTGTTGAGGTGATGTGATTTTTCTCCTTTCTATAATGTAGTGAATTATGTTGAAGCATTTAAAAATTTTAAACTGTCCTTGCATTCCTGGAAGAAATTCATTTTGTCGTCGCATATTATCCTTTTTCATATTTATCTGGATTTGTTAATATTTGTTTAGGATTCCTACATCTATTTTTATGAAAGAATATTGTTTTGCCATTCTCCTTTCTTATAATACCCTTGCCAGGTTTTGTATCAGGTTTATGCTGGCCTCATTAAACAAGTTAGGAAGTATTCTTTCTTTCTTTTTCCTGGAAGAGTCTGTGTAAGATTGGGTTTGTTTCTTATTTGGAAGAACTATCTAGAGAAGCCATCTGGGCTTGGATTTTTTAAAAAGGGTTTTTAGTTTTAGAGTCCATTTCTTTAACATATTCTACATTTTTCCTTATATCAATTTTAATAAATTACATTTTTCAAGGAATTTGTCCATTTCTTCTGAGGTATCAAATTTATTGACAAAGTTATTCATAATATCCTCTATTTGTAATTTCTTTTGGAGCTGTAGTAATTTCTCTTATTCCTAATATTGGTAATTTATATTCTCTTTTTCCTTTGATCAGTCTTGCCTAATAAGAGTCTTATCTCAGTTTTATTAATCTTTTCAAAGAACCAACTTTTGGTTTTGTTTAGGTTTCCCTTTATATATCTGCCTTCTCTTTAATTGATTTCAGGTCTGTATTATTTACTTCGAGTTTTTTTATATTTAATTTGCTGTTCTTTTTCTTCTTGAAATGGATTAGAAATATTTTGTCTGGGACATTGGCTTTCCTTACTACGTTATACTCTATCAGCTATAGAAGATAATATTAAATTTTCAAAGCAGTGCTTTTCTATGAGCTTTCCATTTCCCCATCTCAAATAAAATATATTGTGTCAGTCGGGTGCCTGGGTGGCTCAGTTGGTTGAGTACCTGACTCTTGTTTCGGTTCAGGTCATGATCTCAGGGTCATGAGATCGATCCCTGCATCCTTGGGCTCTGTGTTCAACAGGGAGTCTGCTTGAGATTCTCTCTCCCTCTGCCCTCCCTCTCCCCCCGCCCCCGCTGATGCCATGTGTGCGTGCTCACTGTCTAAAATAAATCTTTAATAAAATATATATATATAGTATGATTGATGTTTTGAAAGATGAGCCATGTTGCCATTGCAGTAGTATACTTTGCAAATAAAGATAAAATATTTTTATTTTACAAACATGGAAAATAAATAAAATAACTAACAATAGACAAATAAGCCAAATGTTAAAGTCTTTAGTCTGACTACCACATATGTATAAATACGTGTGTTTATAATTGTCTAAAATTCTGTATGAATAGTGAAACTATAATCATGAGCTAATTTAATTATAATGGCAATAATTAGCTTCAGGGACTCAGAATTCACTGAGATATTCAGAACTTCTGTGGTTGCTTTTTTCTTTTAGGAAGCTGCAGTAAAGGAAGACGAAGAAGAAGTTTCTGACAAAGGCAGTGATTCTGAAGAAGAAGAAACCAATAGAGAATCCCAAAGTGAAAAAGATGATGGTAGTGACAGAGACTCTGATAGAGAGCAAGATGAAAAACAAAACAAAGATGATGAAGCAGTAAGACTTATAGGTTTAAATAATTAGAATTATATACCTCTGATAGTTTTGGTTTTTGTTGTTTTTTCATTTGTTTACTTGTTTGTGTGCTTGTCTTAATACCAGTATATTTTATAATCTTACAGTACTTTGTAAGAATATGTTTGTGGGATGGTGGTCAGAATTATAAAGAAAAATAGTTTCTAACAAGGATTGGACCTCTTAATTTTCTTAAATCTTAAATTGCTGTTAGTATAGGTTGTGGATTTGAGGAGAAGTCAGTTTGGTATCTTACAGTAATTTTCAACATTGGAGTTGAGTCTGCAAATGAATTAGGAAAGGTGGGTTATGGTCTAAGCAGTTACTTAGAGGAGTCTTTCAAGAGTTCTAGGTAGTGTTTAGAGTAAAGAAATATTACTGTGGGCTCTAATGTCAAGAGGTTGTTTAAGGAGAAGACTAATATTTATAGAATGCCACCTTGTTTAAGAGGTATATAAGACATTAAGGAAAGGAGGAGTCTCGAAGGAACTTACTAAGGTTGTGAGGGTAGAGAGAATAGGAAAAAGTCTCGTGGTGTGGCATTAAGTTGCACCTGATTTATAGATGGGCTATAGAAAAGAGGGTTTGGTGGACAAATAATGGGTCCTTAGAGACTGCTACAAATGAACTGTAAACTGATCAGCCATTCCTTTATGTTTGTGGTGTTCTGTTTTTTTCTGACTGGGCCATCAACCTAAAAGTTACCCTTGTGGTTTAGGAGAGAAAAGGGGATTCCCTGAATAGCCTGTGAGGCACAGGTAGAGGCCGAAAAGAGGATAAAAAAGTAAAGGGCAAAGGGTAAAAGTATAAGGAATTGCAGGCATACCTAGGAGATAGTACAGGCTTAGTTCCAGACCACCGCAATGAAACTGACATCACAATAAAGCGAATCAAATGAATTTTTTGGTTTCCTAGTGGATATAAAAGTTATGTTTACACTATATTGTAGTGTAGTCTATAGAGTATGCAATAGCATTGTCTCAAACAGTATACACGCCTTAATTAAAACATTCTTTACTGCTAAAAAATGCTAACCATCTGAGCTTTTAGCGAGTTGTAACCTTTTTGCTGGTGGAAGCTCTTGCCTAAGTGTTGATGGCTGCTAACTCTTCAGAGTGGTGGTTGCTGAAGGTTGGGGTGGCTGGGGCATTTTTTTAAGTAAGATGACAATAAAGTTTGCTGCATTGACTGTTCCTTTCCAAATCATTTCTCTCTAGCATGAGATGCTGTTTGATAGCATTTCACCCATAGTAGAACTTCTTTCAGAATTGGAGTCAGACCTGTCAAACCCTGCCACTGCTTTGTCAACTAAGTCTTTGTAATATTTTAAATCCTTTGTTGTTGGCATTTCAACAGTTTTGACAGCATCTTCACCAGGAGTAGATTCCATCTCAGGAAACCACTTTCTTTGCTCATCCATCAGAAGCAGCTCCTCATCTGCTCAAGTTTTCTCATGAGATTGCAGCAGTGCAGTCCCATCTGCAGGCACCAACTCTAATTCTAGGTCTCTTGCTATTCCTACCACATCTGTAGTTGCTTCCCTCCCGGAGTCTTGAACCCCTCCAGGTAATCTGTAAGGATTGGAATCAGCTTCTTCCAAACTCCTGTGAATACTGATATTTTGACCTCTTCCCATGAATCATAAATGTTCTTAATGGCACATAAAAGGATGAATCAGAAGATTTTCAATATACTTAGCCCAGATCCACCAGAGGAGTCACTCACTATTTGTGGCAGCTATCACCTTAAAAAATACATTTTATTTCTAAACTAGTAACACTTGAAAGTGATAATTCCTCCTTGATCCATTTGCTGCAGAATGGATGTTGTGTTAGCAGGCATTAATGATTAATGAAAACAATATTAATCTTACTGTGCATCTCCATCAGAGCTCTTGAGTGACCAGGTGCATTTTCAATGAGCAGTAATATTTTGAAAGGAAATTTTTTTGAGTAGTTGGTCTCAACAGTGGGCTTAAAATATTCAGTAAACCATGTTGTAAGCAGATGTGCTGTCATTCAGGCTTTGCTCTTCCATTTAGAGAGCACGTGCAGAGTAGATTTAGCATAATTCTTAAGGGCCCTAGGATTTTTAGAATGGTCGGTGAGTAATGGCTTCAACTGAATGTCACCAGCTGCAGTAGCTCCTAACAGGAGAGTCAGGCTGTCTTTTGAAGCCAGGCATTGACTTCTCTCTAGCTATGAAAGTCCTAGATGGCATCTTCTTCCAGTGTAAGGCTGTTTTGTCAGTATTGAAAATCTGTTATTTAGTATAGCCATCTTTATTAATTCCCCTAGCTGGATCTTGTGGGTAGCTTGCTGCAGCTTCTACACCAGCACTTGCTGCTCCACCTTGCATTTTCATGTTATGGAGATGGCTTCTTTCCTTAAACCTCATGAACCAACCTCTGCCAGCTTCAAATTTTTCTTCTGCAGCTTCCTCACTTCTCTTAGTCTTGACAGAATTGAGGCAGGTCCTTGCTTTGGATTAAGATTTGGCTTAAAGAAATATTGTGGCTAGTTGGATATTCTGTCCAGACCACTAAAACTTTCTCCATACATGCAATAAGGCTGTTTCGCTTTCTTACCTCTCATGTGTTCACTGGAGTAGCACTTTTAATTTCCTTCAAGAATTTTTCCTGTGCATTCACAACTTGGCTATTTGGCCCAAGAGGCCTAGCTTTCTGCCTGTTTCGGCTTTAAACTTGCCTTCTTCACTAAGCTTAATCATTTCTAGCTTTTGAATTAAAGTGAGAGGTGTGCGGCTCTTCCTTTCACTTGAACACTTAGAGGCCATTGTAGGATTATTAACTGGCCTGATTTCAGTATTGTGTCTCAGGGAGGCCCAAGGAGAGGGGGAGAGATGGGGGCAACAACCCATTGGTGGTACAGTCAGAACACGCACGTTTATTGATTAAGTTTGCCATCTTATGTGAACATGGTTTGTGGTGTCCCAAAACAATTATTATGGTACATCAAAGATCAGTGATCACAGATTACCATAACAAATATAATAAAAAAGTTTAAAATATTGCAAGAATTAACCAAAATGTAACACAGAGACTCAAAGTGAGCAAATAAATGCTGTTGGAGAAATGCCAGCAATAGACTTGCTGAACACAGGGTTGCCACAAAGCTTCAGTTTGTGAAAACCGCAATATCTGAGAAGCACGGATGTGCAAAGTGCAGTTAAATGAGGTATGCCTGTAATGTGGTGGGGAGTTTGCCCTTGGGAGTGGTGGGGAAAAACAAGGAAGACTTTTTAGCAGTTGCTGGCCCCGACTGTTTTTGTACTTTGGGAATTAAATTGATTGCCAAGAAATTAAAGCCTATTAAGAATATTATTCCTCCAGGTGTGCTTTGAGAAAGAGTTGACATATTCCTTTCTGAGTATAGTATTAGGATTAGTAGAGGTGACAGACTAGTTTCTTTAGATACCAAAAATACATTCATTCAAGTGTCAAATAATTATACAAACAGTTATTCGTTATCTGTCACATTGCAAGCACTGTGTTAGATGAGAGGAATGCAAGCCAAATGTAAAACAGTTTCTGCCCTTGAATGATAGTAGGCTAGGGGGGAAGGCAGACTTGTAAATAAACATTGAAGTACAAAAGAGATTATGCACATTTTGTGCAAGGTACAGTGAAAGCACAAAGGAGGGAGTGATCAACTCAGTTGAGGGAAATTTCTGGTATTCAGGAGCTCATGGTTTAGGCTTTAGCAGCTCCCGAAGGAATTTTCCAGGTTAGAGAAAGAGAGAGAAAACAAAAATCCAAACATGGTTTCGGAGGAGTGAAATAGCTTGGTGAATTCAGAGAAGTCAAGGTAGTTTAAAGTGACGAGAATAGAAAGTGCAGAGAGAGGCAGTGACAGGAGACTGGAGTGGAGAGATTGGCCCAGGTCAGGTCAGATTATGACTGTATAGTTCGTGCTAAAGGGCTTAGATTTGATTTATGAAATGATGCGTTATAACAGTTTTGAGCAGGGAAATGATCAGGTTTGTGGGACTGAACTCCGTGGTATTGTCAGGAATAATATCTAGAAGAAGATGGAAACTCTTCAATGAGAACATTTAAAAACATACTTGATTTCAAGTGTTTGATTTTTACTTTACTAGGAGTGGCAAGAATTACAACAAAGTATACAGCGAAAGGAGAGAGCTCTCCTGGAAACCAAATCAAAGATAACACATCCTGTTTATAGTCTTTACTTTCCTGAGGTGAGTTATTCATGACTCAGTGTTTTCCTTGTTCCGTTTACTTTCTCTTCAGGTATTTTTCAGTTGCCTTTTATCCCTCTATGTTGTATACTGGCTCAGATGTGCTGAAGATGATCTATTCTTGATAGGCAACATTTTGAAGGATACATTTCAGTATGAATTAGATTTAGTGAATGTGTCGTTTAATGGGAGGATTGTTAACTTTTTAAGTATTTCTGTGGTTTCCTGGGCTTCTGTCCTTTCTGTGCCTGGATGACTGAAGGTTGTGCTGAATGATAATTTCTCTTTAGCAGTTCAGGCAGTCTTGCAGACAAATGCATATTTTGTCCTCATCATAGGACTACATGGGTTTTGTGAATCCCTCACTTCTATCAAGTTTTAGATAGGAAGAAAAAAGTTCTTAAATTTTCCCATGGGTTTTCTCTGATGGGCCTATACTGGCCACCTGGAGCCACTACACTTGCTCTCTCTTTCCCTTGTAATTGCCCTAGTCTGTGGGAATAGGCAAGCCCATGGCTATGGGACCAGCTAAGTTCAGTAAGAGTTGAGAGTGGCTGAGCCCCAAGCTCAGGACAGACGGATCAGTGCTGTTTGGTCTCTTGTCCTTGTTTAGTTTGTGGTTGAGGCCTGCTCAGCTGTTATCTCCTTGAGTTTTTTGTCTTTCAGATGAATTTGGGATTTGCATGGCGATTTGCTTTTGCCATGATTCTGTCTATGGCCAGAGGTCAAGAACTGGTTGCCTCTTAGTTCAGGGAAGCTATTCCACAGACTGCCTCACAGCTTTGCCATAGAACCTTCTGCTCAGCACTCATGTTTGGCAGGTGATTTCATGTATAAATCTGCTTTTTGCTTTAGAATGTCAATCCAGAGTTGCTGGGGGCTGCTGAAGGCAAATTCCCAAGTAATTTGGCTTTCCTAATAATAAATGAATGGCTCTGCACAGACTATTGTTTTGACTTGGAAAGAAGTGAGCCCAGGATTCCATGTTAATGCACTTGCTGATCTTCTGGCATGTCCTGAGCTTTAGCCCATCTGTTAAAGGCGTTTTGCCCATTGCAGTGGTAGCCTGCCAACCCCAAGGCTCCCGAAATCAAGCGAGTAAATTCCACTCATTGATTGGTTTTAAAAGTGCCATGGGATGTTATAAGCTGCATAATTTGTACCCTTATAACAGTTCATTTTAGACCATGCTTAGTTAATAAGCAAAACATCCATTCACTGCCTTAGAACATTTTAGCCTTGAAAATGCCTTTTTCTAATTTAAGCTACAACTGTACTGTAAACATCTCAAGGTACCATTTATCAGATAAAATTTACTTAGGATTTTCCTAACATCTGTCTACCTTCCTGTGTACCTACCGAACTACCCTAACAACCACACTACCCACTTAAATTGCTTAAAGTTTTATGATTATAATTGACTTACATGTTACTGAAACTCATTCATTATACTTAGTATGTTAAGAACGGTGAGGAATCTCACACCACAGAAAAACTATTGAAAGTGCAAATAACTCGTGCTACAGTGTATTTTCCACTTTCACTATGTGCATCAAAGAGTCTAGGCACAAGTACAATGCCATGGATTGATTCACTAGCTTCTTAATAAATATTTTTGAATGAATCTCATTTTAATCAAGTAACCTGGGAGAGCAGACGGAAAGGCATTCTCTTAGTGGAGAGGTGAAGAATCGCACGTTCTTGAACATCTCCCTCTGGTAATGAGATTTCTGACAGTGAAATGTCAGAACTCTTAAATGATTAAGGTGCCTACCTCATTTCATTAATAATCATGATTAGCATTTTTTTAAAGATTATTTATTTGACAGAGAGAGCGCGTGCGCTCGCCAACACACACAAGCAGGGGGAGCAGAGGGTGAGGGAGAAGCGGGCTCCCTGCTGAGCAGGACCCTGGGATCATGACCTGAGCCGAAGGCAGGCGCTTAACGACTGAGCCACCCAGGCGCCCCCATGATTATCATTTATTACAATCAGTGTGCTAGACATTCTGACATATCTTTTGCTTGTATTATCTCATTCATCTTAGCAACACAGCATGAGTTAGGCACTCATCATTTAACAGAGAAGAAAAGTGAGATTTAGACATGTGAAACAGTCCGTGTCTGTGTGGCTTTAAAACAGGCATTGGGAAACGACAGCCTGCAGACAAGTCTGCCTCCCTGCCTGTTTCATGAATGAAGTTTTACTGCAGCACAGTCACACTCATTCTGTTCATGTTACAGTGGCAGGGTTGAGTAGTTGTGACTCAGACTCTGGCCCACTTTTAACACTGTGTGTGTGCAACACGCACAGAGACAAACATACGTATATACACATATACCTGTTGTGGTAGTCCCCCTTGGGTTAAGCAGAAGTTAGATTAATCATGCACTTGTGATTTATATTCTGCTTGTTAATGTTGTTGTAGTGCTTTGTAGTTTACAAGAGTTTTTAGTTGACAGTGTAGCGTTCTTAGATCAAATTTTAATGTCTTGTGGATAAAATAGAAAGTGCAAGTGATTTTGACTTAAAAGGACATTTTCCCTAGGATACTGTTTTCAGTAAAAAGTTATTTTTTTTATCTTTCTTTTGGATAATTGAAAATTTACAACAGTCTAGTGTTGTTTTGGTTGAGTATTTAGAACATCCTAGAGTTTGTTGTATTTTTTAGCTCCAAAACATTTTTCTTTAAGCCATTTTGGAAAGCTGTCTTCCCTGACCAATTCTTAAGCAGTGGATACCAAGAGATGACTGAACAGTTACTAATGTGTCCTGCACAGCAGTGCTCACTGAGCATCCGGACTGCTTGGGCTGCTGCTGCTTTTTTTTTCCCTTAGATTTTATTTATTTATTTATTTATTTATTTATTTATTTATTTATTTGACAGAAAGAGACAGCGAGAGAGGGAACACAAGCAGGGGGAGTGGGCGAGGGAGAAGCAGGCTTCCCACTGAGTAGGGAGCCCGATGCGGGGCTCGATCCCAGGACTCTGGGATCATGACCCGAGCCGAAGGCAGACGCCCAACAACTGAGCCACCCAGGCGCCCCTGCTTCTTCTTCTTCTTCTTCTTCTTTTTTGTTTTTTTTTTCAATACTTTCCTGTCTCCTGTCAGTTCTTCCTGCTGTCATTGTGCATTCTGGTGACAGTTTCTTTACTGAGCTTTTTCTATTCCTAATCTTTTATGAGGTACAACTAAAAACGCTGCACTTATTAAAATCATGTGCAGTGAAAGGTATAAATAGACTCTTAAATCTAAGATGCTCTCTTATGAGTAATATGTTTTAATGATTTCTGATTTGGTTTCCCAAGTCCCTTCCACTCCTACTTTCTGGCTTTTGCTTATTACTAGGTAAGATTACTAAGATTATTTGCTAGATGATATTTTGTAGTAGTTTATATTGTTTTATTTTTTAGGCTATCTTTTGTCATTTAAGGTTAATACAGGGGTTTTTAATACAGAGGCCCATCATTAGGGTTTTTTTTTTTTTAAGATTTTATTTATTTATTTGAGAGAGAG